ACTTTAGCTGATGTTTTACCAAACTTTAGCTGATGTTATACCAAACTTTAGCTGATGTTATACCAAACTTTAGCTGATGTCATACCAAACTTTAGCTGATGTTATACCAAACTTTAGCTGATATCATACCAAACTTTAGCTGATGTTATACCAAACTTTAGCCACTAAGCACACCAGACCTTAGCTGTACATAATCGCCCATCTTTTCAACAGACCCAGAACCATGTGGTGGAACCAAACTTTAGACCAGTTCCAACATCAATAAAATCAATTCCAATCAGATCCAGTTTAGTTCAATCAGGGGCCAAGTGTAGTCCAATATGGAGAACCAAATCTATGTCCCTATGGTGCTGATGTCTCCTGGTCTTGTGTCTTTGTCTGGTTCTCTCAGTGATGTCAGTGTCTCCTGGTCTCGCTGACCTGTCTCGTCTCTACCAGACGGAGTTTGTCCGCAGTGCCCGGGCCGTTGGTGTGCTCTGGGCCGTCTGCACTCTGTGTTTTGCAATCATCCAGGTGGTGATCCTGGTCCAGCCTTCCTGGATCGGTACTTCAGACACCAGGTCTCCGCAGGGTGGACCACCGCTGCCCAGTGGTACCATGGGACTGTTTGAGGTGAGACGTCCTGATCGTCCTATCAGGGCTGGTCTGTCCTCCAACAGCTGTTTTATGAGTCCAGAGTTCAGTTTCTGGTAAACCTGAATCCTAAAACAGATCCTGGACTGGACATGGTGTTTCTGCATGTCCCTGGACATGTCTGTGTCTCTACATATGACCACGTGTCCCCTGATGTCTCATACATATTTCTCCTCATTTTTCTGTGGTTTGTCAGGTGTGTATGGAGTCAGACTGGCCAGTCCCAGACTGTCGTGGAGGTTTGTCCAGTCTGTCTCCTCTGCCGTCCTTCCAGTCTGTGGCAGTGTTAGTCGGCGTGTCTCTGTGGGCTGTGTGGACCAGTGTCCTCTGCCTCTGTCTCTTCAGGTTCTGCAGCGCTGCGACTGTCTACAAGGTCTGCGCCTGGCTACAACTGACTGCAGGTCTGTCACTGGTTCTGTTGGGTCCAGTTCCTGTCTCTGAGGACTGCTGGTCAATGTGTCCCCTATGTCTCTGCAGGTTTTTGTCTCGCATTGGCCTGTCTTCTGTTTCCAGACTCGTGGGAGAGTCCAGAGATGAGGGCTCTCTGTGGAGATTCGGTGAGGAGAAGCTTTTTCTTGTCCTGGTTTAAATCCAAAACCTGGTTTTGTCTTCATTACTGACCTTCATCACTGACCTGTCCCTCGTCTTCCTCCAGGTGAGCAGCTTCTCTCCGGGGACCTGCTCGGTCCACTGGGCCTACATCCTGGCCCTTCTCGGGGTTCTTGATTACGCCATCTTAGCCACGCTGGCTTTTGTCCTCGCCAACCGACAGGACGCTCTTCTGCCCCCAGACTGTCAGGATGGTGAGGAGGAGGAGGGTGATGAAGGTTAGGTGTACTGTAACGTGTTGTTGTTTACACAACCTGTCTTTGTTTGTTTGTGTTTGTGCAGTGACCGCCGGCCTGCTGATGGCGGCGTGAGTCCTCAGGTGAGCTGCTTCTTCTGCTCTTCATCACTGTTAATGCTGCCCTGCTCAACAGGTGATTGGACATGGTTCCATCTATGGGTGTCAGAACCCTTTTAAAAGTGTGGGGGACACGTCCCCTTTAGACGTCCCCTTTAGATGTTCCCTTTAGACGTCCCCTTTAGACGTCCCCTTTAGATGTTCCCTTCAGACGTCCTCTTTAGATGTCCCCTTTAGACGTTCCGTTTAGACGTTCCCTTTGACGTCCCCTTTAGACGTCCCCTTTAGATGTTCCCTTTAGACGTTCCATTTAGACGTTCCCTTTAGAGGTCCCCTTTAGACGTTCCCTTCAGACGTTCCCTTTAGACGTTCCATTTAGACGTCCCCTTTAGAGGTCCCCTTTAGACGTTCCCTTCAGATGTTCCCTTTAGACGTTCCCTTTAGACCTCCCCTTTAGATGTTCCCTTTTGACGTTCCCTTTAGACCTCCCCTTTAGATGTTCCCTTTAGACGTTCCCTTCAGACGTTCCCTTTAGACGTTCCATTTAGACGTCCCCTTTAGAGGTCCCCTTTAGACGTTCCCTTCAGATGTTCCCTTTAGACGTCCCCTTTAGATGTTCCCTTTTGACGTTCCCTTTAGACCTCCCCTTTAGATGTTCCCTTTAGACGTTCCCTTCAGACGTTCCCTTTAGACGTCCCCTTTAGAGGTCCCCTTTAGACGTTCCCTTCAGACGTTCCCTTTAGACGTTCCATTTAGACCTTCCATTTAGATGTTCCCTTTTGATGTCCCCTTCAGACGTTCCCTTTAGACGTCCCCTTTAGATATTCCCTTTAGACGTCCCCTTTAGACGTCCCCTTTAGATGTTCCCTTTAGACGTTCCCTTTAGACGTCCCCTTTAGACGTCCCCTTTAGACGTTCCCTTTAGACGTTCCCTTTAGAAGTTCCCTTTAGACGTCCCCTTTAGATGTTCCCTTTAGACGTTCCCTTTAGTTGTTCCGTTTAGACGTTCCGTT